CTGAGGAAAAGGTTCTTCACTCTGAGGACAAGGTTTTTCACCCTGAGGACAATGTTGCTCACACTGAGGACAAGGTTCTTCACTCTGAGTACAAGGTTCTTCACTATGAGGACAAGGTTCCTCAATATGAGGACAAGGTTCTTCACGCTGAGGACAAGGTTCCTCACTTTGAGGACAAGGTTCTTAACACTGAGGACAAGGTTATTCTCTCTGAGGACGAAGTTCTTCACTCCGAGGACAAGGTTCTTCACTCTGAGGATAAGGTTCCTCACACTGTGGACAAGGTTCCTCACTTTGAGGACAATGTTCTTCACTCTGAGGACAAGGTTCTTCACTCTGAGGACGAAGTTCTTCACTCCGAGGACAAGGTTCTTCACTCTGAGGACAAGGTTCCTCACACTGAGGACAAGGTTCTTCAGTCTGAGGACAAGGTTCTTCAATCTGAGGACAAGTTTCCTCACATTGAAGACAAGGTTATTTAAACTCTGACGACAAGGTTCTTCACTCTGAGGACAAGGTTCTTCCCTATGCGGACAAGGTTCCTCACCCTGAGGACAAGGTTCTTCACGATGAGGACAAAGTTGCTCTCTGAGGCAAGGCTCCTCACGCTGAGGACAAGGTTTTTCAACCCGTGGACAAGGTTCCTCACTTTGAGGATAAGGTTATTTAAACGCTGAGGACAAGGTCCTTCACTCTGACGACAAGGTTTTTCACTCTGAGGACAAGGTTCTTCACTCTGAGGACAAGGTCCTTCACTCCGAGGACAAGGTTCTTCACTCTGAGGACAAGGTTCTCACACTGTGGACAAGGTTCCTCACTTTGAGGACAATGTTCTTCACTCTGAGGACAAGGTTCTTCACTCTGAGGACAAGGTCCTTCACTCTGAGGACAAGGTTCTTCACACTGAGGACAAGGTTCTTCATTCTGAGGACAAGGTTCTTCAATCTGAGGAAAAGGTTTCTCACACTGTGGACAAGGTTGCTCACTTTGAGGTCAAGGTTCTTCACTCTGAGGACAAGGTTCTTCACTCTGAGGACAAGGTTCTTCACTCTGCGGACAAGGTTCGTAACTCTGAGGACAAGGTCCTTCACTCGGAGGACAAGGTTCTTCACTCTTGGGACAAGGTTCCTAACTCTGAGGACAAAGTTCTTCACTCTGAGGACAAGGTTCTTCACTCTGAGGACAAGGTTACTCACTCTGACCACAAAGCTCCTCACTTTAGGAAAAAGGTTCCTCGCACTGAGGACAAAGTTGCTGTTACTGAGGACAAGCTTACTGACTCTGAGGACGAGTTCTTCACTCTGAGCACAAGGTTCGTCACTTTGAGGACAAAGTTCGTCACACTGAGGACAAAGTTGCTGACACTGAGAACAATGCCCTCACTCTCAGGAAAAAGTTCTTCACTCTGAGGACAAGGATCTTCACTCTGAGGACAAGGTTCGCCACTCTGAGGACAAGGTTTCTCTATCTGAAGGGAAGGTTCCTCAGACTGAGGACAAGGCTCTTAACTCTGAGGACAAGGTTCTTCACTCTGAGGAGAAGGTTCTTCAATCTGAGAAGAAGGTTCCTCACACTGTGGACAAGGTTCCTCACTTTGAGGACATGGTTATTCAAACTCTGAGAACAAGGTCCTTCACTCTAAGGATAAGGTTCTTCACGCTGAGGTCAAGGTTCCTCACACTGTGGTCAAGGTTCCTCACTTTGAGGACAAGGTTCTTTTCTCTGAGGACAATTTTCTTCACTTTGAGGACAAGGTTCTTCACTCTGAGGACAAGGTGCTTCAATCTGAGGACAAGGTTTCGCACACTGTGGACAAGGTTCCTCACTTTGAGGACAAGGTTCTTCACTCTGAGGACAAGGTTCTTCACTCTGAGGACAAGGTTCTTCACTCTATGGACAAGGTTCTTCAATCTTAGGACAAGGTTTCTCACACTGTGGACAAGGTTCCTCACTTTGAGGTCAAGGTTCTTCACTCTGAGGACAAGGTTCTTCACTCTGAGGACAAGGTTCTTCACTCTGCGGACAAGATTCCTCACTCTGAGGACAAGGTTCCTCACTCTGAGGACAAGGTTCTTCAATCTGAGGACAAGGTTCCTCACTTTGAGGACAAGGTTATTTAAACTTTGAGGACAACGTTCTTCACTCTGAGGACAAGGTTCTTCACTCTGCGGACAAGGTTCCTCACTCTGAGGACAAGGTTCTTCACTATGAGGACAATGTTCTTCACTCTGAGGACAAGGTTCTTCACGCTGAGGACGAGGTTTTCCACCCTGAGGACAATGTTCCTCACACTGAGGACAAAGTTCTTCACTCCGAGGACCGGGTCCTTCACTGTGGGGACAAGGTTCCTCACTATGACGACAAGGTTCTTCACGCTGAGGACAAGGTTCCTCACTTTGAGGACAAGGTTCTTCACTCTAAGGACAAGGTCTTCACTCAGAGGACGAAGGTTCCTCACCCTGAGGACAAGGTTCCTCAACCTGAGGACAAGATTCTTTACTCTGACGACAAGGTTCTTCACTCTGACGACAAGGTTCCTCACACTGAGGACAAGGTTCTTCAATCTGAGGACAAGGTTCCTCACACTGTGGACAAGGTTCCTCACTTTGAGGACAACGTTATTTAAACTCTGAGGACAAGGTCCTTCACTCTGAGGACAAGGTTCTTCACTCTGAGGACAAGGTTCTTCACTCTGAGGACAAGCTTCTTCACTCTGAGGACAAGGATCTTCACTCTGAGGACAAGGTTCTTCAGGCTGAGGACAAGGTTCCTCACACTGTGGACAAGGTTCCTCACTTCGAGGACAAGGTTCTTCACTCTGAGGAAAAGGTTCTTCACTCTGAGGACAAGGTTCTTAAATCGGAGGACAAGGTTTCTCACACTGTGGACAAGGTTCCTCACTTTGAGGTCAAGGTTCTTCACTCTGTGGACAAGGTTCTTCACTCTGAGGACAAGATTCTTCACTCTGCGGACAAGGTTCCTCACTCTGAGGACAAGGTTCTTCAATCTGAGGACAAGGTTCCTCACTTTGAGGACAAGGTTATTTAAACTCTGACGACAACGTTCTTCACTCTGAGGACAAGGTTCTTCACTCTGCGAACAAGGTTCCTCACTTTGAGGACAAGGTTCGTCACTATGAGGACAAGGTTCTTCACTCTGAGGACAAGGTTCTTCACTCTGAGGACAAGGTTCTTCATTCCGAGGAGAAGGTTTCTCACACTGTGGAGAAGGTTCCTCACTTTGAGGTCAAGGTTCTTCACTCTGAGGACAAGGTTCTTCATTCTGAGGACAAGGTTCTTCACTCTGCGGACAAGATTCCTCTCTCTGATGTCAAGGTTCTTCACTATGAGGACAGGGTTCTTCACTCTGAGGACAAGGTTCTTCACGCTGAGTACAAGGTTTTCACCCTGAAGACAATGTTCCTCAAACTGAGGACAAGGTTCTTCACTCTGAGGACAAGATTCTTCACTCCGAGGACCAGGTTCTTCACTCTGAGGACAAGGTTCCTCACTCTGAGCACATGGTTCTTCAATCTGAGGACAAGGTTCCTCACACTGTGGACAAGGTTCCTCACTTTGAGGACAGGGTTCTACACTCTGAGGACAATGTTCTTCACTCTGAGGACAAGGTTCTTCATTCTGAGGACAAGCTTCCTCACCCTGAGGACAAGGTTCTTCACTCTGAGGACAAGGTTCTTCACTCTGAGGACAAGGTTGTTCACGCTGAGGACAAGGTTTTTCACCCCGTGGACAAGGTTCCTCACTTTGAGGACAAGGTTATTTAAACTCTGAGGACGAGGTCCTTCACTCTGAGGGCAAGGTTCTTCACTCTGAGGACAAGGTTCTTCACGCTGAGGACAAGGTTCCTCACATTGTGGACAAGGTTCCTCACTTTGAGGACAAAGTTCTTCACTCTGAGGACAAGGTTCTTCACTCTGAGGACAAGGTTCTTCACTCTGAGGACAAGGTTCTTCAATCTGAGGGCAAGGTTTCTCACACTGTGGACATATGTTCCTCACTTTGAGGACAAGGTTCTTCACTCTGAGGACAAGATTCTTCACTTTGAGGACAAGGTTCTTGACTCTGAGGACAAGGTTCTTCACTCTGCGGACAAGGTTCCTAACTCTGAGGACAAGGTTCCTCACTCTGAGGACAAGGTTCTTTAATCTGAGGACAAGGTTCATCACTTTGAGGACAAAGTTATTTAAACTCTGAGCACAAGGTTCTTCACTCTGAGGACAAGGTTCTTCATTCTGCGGACAAGGTTCCTCACTCTGAGGAAAAGGTTCTTCACTCTGAGGACAAGGTTTTTCACCCTGAGGACAATGTTGCTCACACTGAGGACAAGGTTCTTCACTCTGAGTACAAGGTTCTTCACTATGAGGACAAGGTTCCTCAATATGAGGACAAGGTTCTTCACGCGGAGGACAAGGTTCTTCACTTTGAGGACAAGGTTCTTAACACTGAGGACAAGGTTCCTCACTCTGAGGACAAGGTTCTTCACTTTGAGGACAAGGTTCTTCACTCTGAGGACAAGGTTCTTCACTCTGAGGACAAGGTTCTTCACTCTGAGGACAAGGTTCTTCACTCTGAGGACAAGGTTCCTCACACTGTGGACAAGGTTCCTCACTTTGAGGACAAGGTTCTTCACTCTGAGGACAAGGTTCTTCACTCTGAGGACAAGGTTCTTCACTCTGCGGACAAGATTCCTCATTCTGAGGACAAGGTTCCTCACTCTGAGGACAAGGTTCTTCAATCTGAGGACAAGGTTCCTCACTTTGAAGACAAGGTTATTTATACTCTGAGGACAAGGTTCTTAACTCTGAGGACAAGGTTCTTCGCTATGCGGACAAGCTTCCTCACCCTGAGGACAAGGTTCTTCACAATGAGGACAAGGTTCTTCACTCTGAGGACAAGGTTCTTCACGCTGAGGACAAGGTTTTTCACTCCGTGGACAAGGTTCCTCACTTTGAGGACAAGGTTATTTAAACTCTGAGGACAAGGTCCTTCACTCTGAGGACAAGGTTCTTCACTCTGTGGACAAGGTTCTTCACGCTGAGGACAAGGTTCCTCACACTGTGGACAAGGTTCCTCCCTTTCAAGAGAACGTTCTTCACTCTGAGGACAAGGTTCTTCACTCTGAGGACAAGGTTCTTCACTCTGAGGACAAGGTTCTTCAATCTGAGGACAAGGTTTCTCACACTGTGGAGAAGGTTCCTCACTTTGAGGTCAATGTTCTTCACTCTGAGGACAAGGCTCTTCACTCTGCAGACAAGGTTCCTAACTCTGAGGACAAGGTTCCTCACTTTGAGGACAAGGTTCTTTAATCTGAGGACAAGGTTCCTCACTTTGAGGACAAAGTTATTTAAACTCTGAGGACAAGGTTCTTCAGTCTGAGGACAAGGTTCTTCAGTCTGAGGACAAGGTTCTTCAGTCTGAGGACAAGGTTCTTCACTCTGCGGACAAGGTTCCTCACTCTGAGGAAAAGGTTCTTCACTATGAGGACAAGGTTCTTCACGCTGAGGACAAGGTTTTTCACCCTGAGGACAATGTTCCTCACACTGAGGACAAGGTTCTTCACTCTGAGTACAAGGTTCTTCACTATGAGGACAAGGTTCTTCACTCTGAGGACAAGGTTCTTCACGCTGAGGAAAAGGTTCTTCACCCTGAGGACAAGGTTCTTAACACTGAGGACAAGGTTATTCACTCTGTGGACGAGGTTCTTCACTCCGAGGACAAGGTTCTTCACAACCTCGTCCCCAGGGCCTATTGAGGAAGGAGGCGAAGCAGCAATGGCTTTGGTAAAGCCTGGTCACGTGATGCTTCAAATTTTGAATATTTCAGAATATTTATCTTTTCAAACCGGGGGTGCGGGCCGCTTTGGTTTTATCAAACATGGCCGTGCAAAGGGGCGATAGAAGCTTTTGCGACTGAAACTATGATGATAAACTTTTCAACTGACAGTGGAAATAAATATATAGTCTGCGATGTTCTTCAAAAAAATATGGAATATAATCATCAGCAATACTTGTCGAAGATCAAGATTCAAAGAGAAGGGTCTAAACGCTGACTGGCAACAGTAAATATTTCTTTTCATCTTGGAAGCGTGTTTTATAATATTTGTCGTTTGGGAGTCAATAACGTACTGTCAGTGAAGAATTTGATTTGGGACTTTGATGTACCTTTATGAAAAGATTACTACTGAATACAAATGTGCATGTAAAATGTGATTAGAACGTTTTAATATGAACAGTTGCACTGTCATTGACTCAATATATTTTAATGTGGGACAAACATTAAAAAAAAACATTAAAGTACATTAAAGGGCTTTTAGCTTGGTTTTCCACTTTTTTGATACAACTATAGAATACCCACAACTTTCACATCTTACCGCTATTAATTTCTTGCAAACATTGTCAATTTACTCAAAATTGATCTAATATGATTGCCTCATTCTTCAAAACCCCCCAGTCAAATTTGAACCAAACTAACATACTCATATGATTTAATCTCTAAACTTTACCCTTAAACTATTTTGAAGGGATTCTTGTACATATTTAATATGTGTCAATGAATGCGGAAAAATGGCGAGGTATTCTATAAGCATTTCGGCATGTGTGTTTTTGAACCTTCACTGTTGAGAGAGCATGCCATGAGTTTCCCCAGATTATCTGAGCACTTCAACCAGACCAACAGCTGCCAAATGGCAACTACTATGCTCAGAGTTGTAACTTGACACTTGCCCGGGGCAAGTGAATATCATGATGGGCAAGTAAAAGTTCCCTCTTGGTTGCCCGAACGGGAAAGTTGCTTTGCCACAAAAAGCTGGCCAGCTTTCAGTTCATATTATTATTGTCGGATAGAATAAAGGCTGTTCGACGACATTGGTTCAAGCTAGCAAATCATCTGCATCAAATTCATCTAAATTGTTTGATTATATTATGCATTGATTCTCTTTTTGGTTATTAAATGTTTATTCATGATATGATAACGAAATATGGCAGGACTTAATTTATGGCAGGACTTAATTTGGGACTTTATTAGTCCTGTTGTCTGTGCCTTCAATTTCTTATTGTAAAACTAATAAAAAAAAAAAATAAATAATGGTGATTAGTGTTACATTAAATAAGTGTACTTGATTCAAATTTTGTTTAATATGTGAGCCAAAGCTAGATATGAGGTAGTCTAGATCTGAGGCAGTAACATAGCCAATGCCACTAGTCCAATGAGTGGATATGTTGCCTCCCTAATTTATACTGGCCTGCGTAGGTACCCCATTGCCTGATGGCAAGTGGATTTTATTCAGGGCAACCAATTTTCATGTCCAACTTGCCCTGAGGGCAAGTGGTCAAAAAAGTTAAGTTACACCACTGATGCTGTATACAAATTATATACCTGAAAGGTAACTTACATCATATTGTGTCATTTAAATACTAATACTTGTATTCTCACAGTGTATTAAGATATACAAATGCACTTGTGATGCCCAACGAATTGCCACAAAAAAACCCATAAACCACAAATCAGTCAATTTCAGTAAGTAGGGCACACTGGGGCACATTGCAGCTCAATGGGTTAACTAGAGATATTGTCAGATTTTGGTTAATAACCATAATTGTAAGAGGTCAGTACAGTCTGTAACAATAAGTAATTCAGGAATTCACACAATTCTCAACAGTTAAATGATTATCGGATTTCATGTTAAATGATTATCGGATAATGTTGAGCATCAAGAATATATGTATAATATCCTTCATACATCTATAATAATATTCAGGCTAAATATCATAGTTATTATTTTATGTACAGTACTATAGTTGTATCAGGTATAAAGATACGAGGTGAAGCCAAGTATCTTTAGGTCTGATAAAGCATACACTGCAAATGTTTTAAATTGCTCAACTGATGGTCACCAACAACAAATAGTACTTTATTACAAGGCGGCAAAATGTATTTAAATTAAAAGAGATGAATAATCTTGTCACTTGATACATTTGACACCAGGCCGGTGTCTTGTATTTGTCCATAAGAGACCCCTTGTTATTGTATCATGTTTTGAGAATGAGTTCAATTTTGATATTTGTTGTTGATCTGAGCAAAATATTGATTATTGATTTGCCTACTGAGGCACACAGTATTGAACAGTCAATTGTGGTGAGTGATGCTGAACTGCCTGTTGTATGTTGTGAGTGATTTTGAGCGCCTGTTGTGATGAGTGACACTGAATTGCCCCAATTGTGGCTCAGGAAAAAATGTACCTGCTGACTTGTCAAATAATCTCCTTAAATAATGTTCTGGGAAGTAATTTGTGTAATTGATTACAAACAAAAACAAGGGCTTGTTAACAGTATAATGAGGAAATTAATTCCATCTCATTATATTATTCAGCCTTGATAAAGCATATGGAGGCTTTCTGTCTGATTTGACCCTCATGCATGTAATTGTTTGGGAATGCCTGATCATTAAGATCACAACATTTGTTTTGAAGCTTGGCCTTTGAAATCTAAACCCAAAGCACTATATGTGTGTTCACAATGTTCTTGGGATAAGAATGAAAATCAAATCAAATATTTCAACTCAATTAAATTCAGGAAATGTTAATTTAACCACGGAGGTCAACCAGGTTATACTCGGGGCATATGGCTAACATAAGCATTTAAATTCCAAGTGCATACGATGTTGACATTCCTTGTTTTTCAGACATTCTTTGGGTCTTGTACTCCCTTTAACTGTTAAATATACTGTATGATATTGACATTTGCAAGAAAGATCTACTGTAGCAACAATAACTATTAAATGTTTTGATGATCATGGAGTCCATATTATTAAATTAAAGTGATTTTACATATCTGTTTCACAATCGAGGCAGCAATTTCCTTGCGACAGTATTAAATTCATAGTATAAATGCTTCTATCGATCCATTCGTTTTGCACTGTTGCTTTGTGATTTAATAGATCTCCTTTACAGTTCAACCAAGGTTCTCAGAGCTAATTTGAAGACAATTTCAAATTTATTCAATATTTTTGGAAGAACTTTAACAGATTTTTTCATTTTAAAATAGATTTTTGTTCTTTATTTGTCGATTTCTGTGTTTATGCAATATTGACGAATATATTGTAGCTAAAGCGATCAGCGATCGCACCCCCCTGTATAGTATTTGCTCCGATATATCACGTGACAAAATAATCCACAATTTGTGGATTATTTCACCAGCCTTTACCAGGGCCTTTGCTGCCCTTCGCCTCCTTCCTTAAAAGGCCCTGGGGACGAGGTTGATCAGGACGCAGGAAAATTTCGCACTGGTCCCGCGAGTTCGAGACATGTGCGAGACGGCTCGGAAATTTGTATACAAAACAAATTCAAGACATATTTGATATTTGTAATTTTGTGCCACATTGTGCCTTGTTTTTAAATGCTATTTCACGTGTATTTGCCTGTCGAAGGTTGAAATTTAAAGAATATGGCTGGCCAAGGCGATAAATCGACTGGAAAAGATGAAGGCGAAGTGAAATCTACACCGTCAATTACTGTATTATAATTTTAAACCAAGAGGTCGCACCGCCGTTGGTTTCTAATACTGATATGAAAGGTACAAAGCTTTATATTTTTATATTTTGTACTGTTTTGTTTCATTTTTTGACGATAGTTGACGAGAAAATATTCTTGTCTAAAGCTTGCTTCAATCGTCAAAGGAGAAACGTTCTTAGTTTGACTTTTATATATAGACATTTAGTATGCGTGACCATTTGTATTCGAAGTGACTATGGCAGCGTTTACACTGTACCGTTTTCGTAGCGTTCTCGTATTGTTCGAGAGAACTAGACTATTGTCTTGCGTTCCCTTAAGGATTAAGAACAATACGAGAACGCTACGAAAACGGTACAGTGTAAACGCTGCCTATATGACCGGCAGCCGGTTACGGTTTATCAAATACGAGGGTCTAGATGGGGTTTAATGTTAAGTGTTGACGGCCCATATTCTATAGTGTTTAATGTTGAAACGCTAAATATTTTGTTGTTTACTGTCATGGAAGACTTCGCAGTTAAGTGTTGTAATTTACTATAAAAAGTCTAATGCATTTCAAAAAGGGCTTTAAACTACTAAATTTCAGACAAAAGAATACGAAACTATATTAAAAGCGATGTCAGAGTGTGTTTACAGGTCTTACAGATCTTTATAGCTTTTACATCACTTGCCACCTTGCCCAGCACCTGCATCTTTGCCTTCATGCAGGCCAACACATGCGCATATGGGCCTGGTGTGCCAATTACAAAATATGCAAAATATGTCTTTGATGGTCTTAGAGACTGTGCATTTGCTTCCTACATATAATTAAGTGCTTTTTTACGTCTTCATGAAATTAGCAAAATTTTACTATTATGTGAAATTTTTTACTGTTACTGTTAAATTACTAAAAAATCAAATGTTTACTGTTTTGGGCACCACCCCATCTAGACCCTCAAATACTAAATGGCCGGCAGTCTAGTGACTATTGTTAAAGTTGAATTTTTATAAGATAAACCTATCCCCAACCCCAAACCCTTTTCTAACCCTAACCCTTAAGTCCTAACCCTAACCTTTTGAGAGTTAGAAAAGTCGGGAAAAAAAGTTTAAAAATTTTTAAGAAAAAACAATGCTAAGTCAAACAAAACACATCCCGACCCGACTGCGTTTAACTTTTCGCACGCAGCGCCCTTGCCGTACGAGCTAACGGCAAGCTCGGTAAAAGTTAACGCAAACAAAAGTTTTTATATTCAACTATAGTCACTAGACTGCCGGCCATTTAGTATTTGATAAACCGTGACCGGCTACCGGTCGTATAGTCACTTTGATTTGTATTTATGAATCCTATTTAATATTAGTATTTTTGCACAAGTCAGTGGCCACCATATTCACTAACACTCAGGCCATCCCCCTAAATATAAGCCCAGGTGTCAATGTATAAGCCCATTGGTTAATTAGCACAGCAACAGTGATTCCAACAGATCAGACAAGTGACAATAATTAGATGATTTAATGATTTAATAATGTTCGACAACTACTACATTTATATTATAACAACTATGTAGTGCCAGGATACTCGCCACAGTGTCCCCAATTACGGCAAGTCCTTTATATAATTACATCTAAATCACGTTAATATTAATATTGAATAATTAATAAATAACTGACAACACGCAAAACATAACATACATATGTCTTAAGTTTTGATTTAAAGGTATTCAGACCAATATCTCTGTGACGAAGATCGCAGCCCAAAATGTTCCATGTTTTACATGCTCTAATGAAATAAGAAGTTTGGAAGGTCACCGTATTGGCAAATGGTATTGAAAATTTATATAAGTTCTCATTTGTATAAGTTCAGATCACTGTATTGTATTGTAATGTATAGATTATAATTATACAGTGTATGTTTGTATTTCTTTTCGTTCATGGTAGAGTTTACAGCTACAATAAGTATTATTACCAACATCAAATGTTGTGTGTATATTACAGCCCCCGCCCCCTCCCCCCGTAATTAAGCCCTCCCATAGTCCCATGTATAAGCCCATCTGTATTTATGGTATAGTTGCATGTGTGTTTCATTAAAGCTGGGTCACTACGCATTGCTTTCTGGCAATGAAAACTACTTATTTTCAATGGATTACATTGTGAAGTGTGTATTTATGGTTTTGGTGTTAAAACAAGATCCAGTCTATGGTACGATAAGTGGGCTCATTATGCTAATGTGTTTGCATATAACACCTTTTCACAGTTTGCGATGCCATCTTGCCAAGTTCTACCTACTCTCGCATCCTTTTTGAAATGTTTCAAATGCCTCAGCGAGGAATCTTATCCTGTCCTAGTTCACAGTTGATGGAATGTGACCATTTCTGGATATCATAAGAGAAGGCTTGGGGACCATTCATAGGTGGGACTTGGCAACCATTAATTAGTAGGTGGAACTTGGGTATCGTTAGTATGTGGGACTTGGAGACCATTAGTAGGTGGGACTTGGGGATCATTAGTAAGTGGGACTTGGGGACCGTTAGTAGGTTACTAGGTTGGACATGGGGACCATTTATTGGGTGGGACTTGGGGAGTGTTAGTTGGTGGGACTTGTCCACTTGGGGACCATTAATTAGTAGGTAGGATTTGGGAACCATTAGTAGGTGGGAATTGGGGACCATTTATAGGTGGGACTTGGGGGACCGTTAGTAGGTGGGACTTGGGCACCATTAGTAGGTGGGACTTTGGAACCGCTAGTAGGTGGGACTTGGGGGACTGTTAGACTCGTTAGTTCCTAGACCAACATCAGAAGCGTCCATTTGCAATACAAATTCTCAGTCAAAGTCTGGGTAACATAGTATTGGTACGGAGCAAAGTAATTGTTTAAGTTGTTCAAAGGCTGCAGTAAATTCATCAGTCCAAACGAAATTATCGCTGTTCTCCTTTGAAGTGAGTTTCGTTAAAGCTTGAGCAACAGTAGACTAGCGTAATAGACCTTAACCGATTATTCACTGTTCACCCAATGGCCTCGTTTTTTGTGTCAACTACTTACTCATATTTTGTGCTTAGTGGGGTTGAAAATTACTTTGTTATTGAACCTAACAACAGCAAGAAACAAATTCGTCCAGGAAAACAGCCTGCAAACAGGCATTTATTTATGGCATGAATAAATGCCTGTTCGCAGGCTAAGGAAAACATGGAAATATATATAATCTTTATCCGCCTCCTGACAGGCGAAAATAAGTTGACATGGGAAACGAGGCCATTGGGTAAAAGAGCATATTAGGTAAGGTCTATTAATTAGGGATGGGTTGCCAATAATACCCAGTCAAGCCTAGAAATGTAGGCATACTAATTACTTACAAACTTAAGGACTCGAAGAAAATCAGAAGTCGAGGAAAGCCCGGACCCAGAAAAAATCTGATATTAAAGCATTCCTGCTCGTGTTTTAAATAGTACTTAGTGTTTAAAATCTATTCACATGTCCATAATTGAAAATAATTCATTATCTGTTCATTACACATTCGTCAAACTAAAAAATATTGGCTAGGGCGTTGCTTATGATACCATGGGACGTTGCCTGTTCCAGAAATTGCCCTCATGAAACTTCAGACTGATGAAACTTTAGACTGAGCATGTCATAAATATTTAAATATTAGAGAAGAGATTTTTCAAACAGAATTCTACTGTAACCATCCGGAGGTGGGTAACAAAAGTTTTTAAATATAACATCAAGGATCGCACCATCATCAACTAAAAAGAGAGAAAAATTTAAATATTTGTCAGGACGAAAAGAGAAAAAACTGTACAGTATACCAGCATTTACGTTTCCTGGCTGCTTCCTCACAAACATAACCCAATCTAAATATTCCAACTTCATGTGTTAATTCCTGTATAATAAATAAGACATATTGCATAGTGGCAGGGACTACTTCCATGCATATGTATCAATGGGATATTTTCATTTATATACAGTACATGTTGCAAAAGATTGCTTTCACAAGACCCATCCCTCATGTCGACAACTTTAATTTTAAATATAGGTATCAAGCATTAAACAGCATAAAATATTGTTATGTTGTGAACTAAAAATCTTTTGTACAATCGCATACTATAGCACCTGAGATTGCTTCAATTAATGCATACTAATGAGCATGTTTACCCCTGTTCCCATGCATGGGTAATTGTCGGTAATTTGGTTTTCATTTCAGAAGACCATGCTAATCTGTCATTTTCATGTAATGAAAAAGTTGAAATTTTCACAAAATTAATTCAGCTCTCTAAGGGTTAAATGAGATCTTAATGTACTAAAGATACACTAAATTTAATTTTGCAATTACCCAAGTATTACATCATATATATACAAAAAAAACAATCATCTGATGGTACTTTAAAGACACAAAATAAATACCACACAGAACGGACATGGACATGAAAAACTCACCAAAAACAGCAGGATAAACTGTTCCTCTAATTCCAGTGAGAGGAAATTCAACCTGACATCCATTAATGTAAAAGTATAATTCTGCATGGTTGTAAGTGCAAGCCTAGATTACATGAAAGATACACATTCAGAATATCAGTTATATGTTTTCTTGGTGTAGGAAGGAAACTTAATTTAATTTAACTTCACCAGAATAAAATTACAATATAAATTACAACAAATATTGTGGCGGCATGATAAGAAATTTATGGGGGAGCTGTACAGTTACACTTACAATGATATCACCTTCATCAGGCATAACATTTAGTTGATGAACCACTTTACTATTGTGACATATACCACCATCTGATCTTAATACCCAACTTTCTTCATTATTACCCAGTGGTAGACGATTTAGATCACACTTTCTGGATGCCAAACCTACACCCCATACACCTTGATAAACAAAATCATAAAATATAAAGTCACTTGCAGATAAAACACAGGCCTTAAAATATCTTTTACAGGGCCGTCTGACAAAATGTCCTGTGACGTTGAGTTTGGGTCGGACATATGTCCGATGACCTTCAGTTCAGTTTTGACTCGGAAATAAATCTGAATGACACAAATGAATAAATGGTAAATGTTTGTAAAGATGTTAAATAATTTGTTTCTTTCATACTTATTTCCAAGCCAAAATTAACTTGCTTTCCAGAACAGCAGTGTTAAAAAAGACTTCGACAACTTAAGCCCATTTTCCACTTCACCATTTCGCTCGCCGCCCCGCGCTCGACTATACATTAAAACAACATTTCCAGTTCACCTTTTATACAATAGTACTCGGAAGCCCTGTTTACACTACGCTCAATTTTTGGTACGGCACGGATAAAATTGGTACCGTACCACTTTTTTGGTTCTTGGACTACCTATTTAGCTAAGCCCTGTTTACACTACGCTCAATTTTTGGTACCGTATAACATACAAGCCTCTAGCCCTACTCCTGGGCTAGGGTACATTTCATTTACGTCGGACAAAGCTACAGTTCGGTCGGACACCAATACACTCGAGTCGGACAAACAATAAACCTCAGTTTCACTTTGGTCGGACAGAATGTCCGGTGGTTTCCTTTCTACGTCGGACAATTTCACGAATGGGTCGGACAATGTCCATGACCGACCGATATTTTAAGGCCTGAAACATGTGAAGGTCCATTCTGTGTAGTCCAGTTCCATGGAAGGGCAAAAATTCATTCCAAAAAAAAGGGGGAAATGTGGGGGAGGTAGGTGTAGCTGGCCAGTGGACAAAAAATATAGTAAATTAAAAAATATAGTAAATCAAAAAATATATTAAAAAAGCCAGTAAGAAGTTGTATTCTCTAAGAATTTTGCGAAGAGTCAACCAAACTACCAAAAAAGTAATATGCTGAAAGTACAGTACGACTGGTGCTGGAATATGCTGTTCCTGTGTGGCAGGGTATACTGGATTATTTGTGTGATGCAATTGAGGTAGTGCAAAATAGGGCACTTAAAAATAATCTACCCAGAGACTGAGTTGTATTCAGAGTTCTTAATTGATCACAACTTCCAACCTTAAAGACAAGAAGAGAACTACTGTGTATACAATATATGAACAAGATGAAGTGTAAGGACCATCCACTATTTAATTTATTACCTAAGCCCGTTGTTTGTGATCACAATTTTAACTTAAGGAGGATTTCTGAACAATTTTCTATTTATTTAATGACACTACCTGCTTGTAGAACAAAGAGAGCACAGTCCTTTTTTACCTTTAAATATTTTAACTAGATTAGCAGTATTAATTCTGTATCTATACTGTGTAATACCTAGATTTAATTGATTAGTTTTTATTGTAATGTATTAAGCTCGCTAATAAACTACTTAATAAAATTATTATAAGATTATCCTCCACTTTGTCATATATATTACACCCCCCCCAGGATTATTGTTATTGACTAATACCTTTCAGGAAAGGACCTTCACTTACTGTTGTTCCAATTGAAGTGTTCCTCAAATATTGATTCAATACATTACCTCGGGCTGACCAATTCATTTGATCAAGTTCCTCAAAATATTCATACACTTCCTAGTATAATTGTAAACTTCCTGTTGAATAGTTTGAATGCACCAATCACCTTTGTTGTTTGTGCAACTAACCAATCATAAATAGAAAGGAAGTGATCAAAAATGATCAAATACCTGGAATTGGCTCTTTCACAGGAAGTGTATGAATATCTCGAGGAACTTGATGAAATGAATTGGTCAGCCCGAGGTAATGTATTGAATCAATATTTGAGGAACACTTCAATTGGAACGACAGTAAAACATGATATGGCTAGATCCTTCAGTGAAGGTTGTGAAGATTGTTTAATTAACTGCTACACTGAGCTATACCTACACTGGAGCCCACAGTATATTTATGGCCTACCTCCACATTGTACTTTCACTTCAAAATAAGCTTTATTTTGAACTATAGGACCTGTAGCAAGTGCAGCACCACATCCACATATTCTTAAATCAGATTTCACAATCACAACTTCATCACCTTGACAAAAGATAATCCAAGTCTGTTAATGTTTTTTTAACACATTTACATGTGTAAACACAAACCTATTGTTAAAACACAACACATCAAATACACAGTTGTGATATATAGAATATAAAAACTAACCAATAAATTGTTTATCTAATATAACATCTTGTGTAATATCTTCTTGGCAAGGAACTTGATCATGTGCTGGTTTCTTTCGTGAACAACAAAATATTAAATTCCAACCATCCAAATAACAACTCGACATATTCTTCTTCTTCCTTAGTAACCGCACCTTCTGAATAATATTTTAACACTGATCTCAAAGTATAACTGGATGAAGCTTTGTTTTTAATTCAGCCATTTTGGTGTTTGCTTTAAATTATTATGAGGTAAATGTTTTATGGAAGATTTAGCTTCCTTCACCTCTTTTGATGATTTTTAGATTTTAAAACACTGACGACTTTATTGAGGGCTTTAAATTAATTAAATGGCTTTTATAAAATTTTGAGTGTTTGGCTTCAAATGCACTATTCAGTTTTATTTTGAGATCAGTGGATTTTCCAACATGGCGGCCGATACACGCTTTGCAAGTAAGTGATATTATTTAATTTTCTTTTGTAAATTGAGGTCAATTGTGCATGGGCGCCAAAACAAGCTTTATAGGACAACTGGAAAGGAATGTTACACCAACTGGTGTGTACAAAATGAAACGTCCAACTGATTAATGTTTCAATAGTAAAACTGTTTGCATGGAATCATCAACTCAATCATGGAATGTGATGTGCTGATTGTGCTCATCATCATCATGTGCGCATAACCTTGCTGCTACAGTACAGTTGCTACTCTACCTCCTCCGCAAGCCTTTCAAAAATATAAAATTGTTGGGAAACGAACGGAAAAGCCTGCAGACTAATTTTCCAAGATGGGGGCTGAGGTCTGAGGAAGTCACAAGACAAATTATATTTATATATCATTTTACCAGAACAATATTATTATTAAAGTCTTTGACTACTTCTGATATAGACCGCTTTTCGTATCTACAATATACATTAAAACAGTGAATACTGAACAAACAAGCGTACTTTGATTTATAAAGAGAAGAAGATAAATATCAGTTAATTTGCACATTAAATTTGCATAATAGGGCCATTTATACGGGACAAAATAAGTCGCAACTTACATAAGTTGCGACTTAAATAAGATGCGACTTAATAAATAAGACGCAAGTTTGTCGTATAAAAGGTACAAAATTCTTATGTAAGGCCAAGTAAAAAAAATTCCCGGTTTCTCATCAGATGTTTTTTTTTTTAAATGCAAATGCGGCGCACTTTTTTAAAATTTTTTATATTAAACAACCAGTTTTTTTTTAACAATAGAACTTAAATTGTTTAATAAAAACCACTATTCTACCATGTATATTTATTTAAAATACAGTATTTATAAAAAAAAACATGAAGTCGGCACCATTTGCATAAAATATTACACTGCTGACCACCCACCGCTAAATATTTCATGTAATTCCTAATGCGGACACTGATGAGAAACTGGGAATTGTTTTTACTTGGCCTAAGTCGCGTTAATTAAATAAGAACAGGATTTTTAGCTGTTCTTATTTAAGTCGCACCTTAAATAAGACATTTTGGATAAAAAGTTTAACCACACATGCCCGAAACTTGAAACAACGTAAAATTATTAGCCTTGCATATTAAAACAAATACAACCAAAACAAAATTATAGCTATAGCAAGTAAATAAGACTAATATATAAGACATGTCTTATGTAAGTCGCGACTTATTTTGTCCTGTATAAATGGCCCTATTATTCCATTTATATTTGTCTTTTATACAGTGTAACTATAGTATTTAAATGTGTGTGTATATAGTCTAAACATCCCATTTGGCCAAGTGATAGATTCACAACGTCTATATGACTATATCACTGTCGCTTGTGCTTATAAAACCCTCCATTATTTGAGTTTCCTTGTCGCTTTTATCAGCCATAACTGCCAAGATGTAGTTAGAAAATACTCGCAAAACAGGAAATCTTGCTAAAGATTGGCAGACGATGTGCCATATTTTAATGAAATTTGATACAATTGAGTAATCATGATTTTAAAGAAATTTGATCCAACTGAGTAACCAGACTTAATAATTTAACATTTGTAAATATTATTTCTGATAGAACCACTGTGTTTAAATAAAAATTATCTAATCTAATCGACGCTATAAGCCAAGTAATCGACATGTTATTCAGCAGGCCTTACAGCAGCTTTGTCTCAGATTTCAAATTTTAACCCGCGAACGGGCATACTCATTACGGGCTGTTGGCCTGCGGAGGAGGTAGATTGCTACTAATATATTTACTAGTAATTGGTACACTGATTGTGATTCCATACAGGAACTGTCTGGGCAGTCTGATTATAATATTAAAAACAAGTGAAACCGGTCCTATTAAATACTGCCCGGAGCACCTGGAAGCGCCCAGGAGCGTGTGAGAATGCCCGGGGATATGTAAGATAGTATAAATCAGTGCACGATCCTTTTTGGGTCTCTATGAAGCATTATATTAATAAAAAATAATATTAAAGTGATTTTCAACCAGCCTAGCAACAAGCGGTGAAGCACGGTTGCCCATGCAGGAAGATGTGCGGAACATGAGCTTATATTTATTATTGATGTAAATATTTGCTGTTATTAAATTTGTGCACTGATTTATGCTATCTAGTATATCCCCATGCATCCCCGGGTGCTCCCAGGCATCCCCGGGTGCTCCGGGCAGTATTTAGTAGGACCCAGTCAGGGTTTTTTTCAGGGATTTTTTAGGGCCATTAAACGGCTCCAAAAACTCAATCTTGAATTGAGTTTTGAAACTCAATCTTCTCACCAAAGTTTCAGTGCAGTAAAAATGAAGTTGTTTGAGTTAAATTTGTGACGTGTGAAATTAGTTTTCAGTTAGAAACCAGACAATTAAAAAACAATGGCTGGAATTCCTCTCACAACACAAGAAAAATTATGCATTCACCATTATTTATTGAGTACAGGTGTGTCCCCCGGTAGGGGGAGCCATCCCAGCTGTTCAGCTAAACTCAATCTTCTCTGCAAAAACGGACCCAAGAGAAAATCCTGAAAAAAATCCCTGCCAGTGAAACAACTGTATAATAATGAGAAGATTGAATTATTGTTAAGCTGTCTAATAAGCACACATTGAAGCACACACAACATTGAATAAGCAGTGTATCAAATCCAAATCTTTCAATGGTCAACAGTGTCAAACCTAATTAATTAACATTCCTGGGGGGGGGGGGTTAAACTGCAGTTTAACAGTAAAATCCCAACCCTAAGGCCAATGGAATTAAGGTATCAGTTTAACGTCACCTGCCCACGTGTGTTACTGGCAGCCGCGTGAAATTTTCATTATTTCAATATTTTTTCATCATTTGTCAAATTTGTATGGCAAATGTTTCAAAAATGGCTTTCTGTTGAAATTATTGGCAAATACTGACTTTGTTTATACAGTTAGCGAAGCCATAGGCATAGCCTGCGTGGCGAAGCCACAGCGAAACAGAGTCAAAGACATAGCTGATAACTCGGAAGCTAGCAAAAAGCTCAAGAATGGATTTTTTCGGTCGAAATTCGGATTTTTAGCTCAAAATTTGACAAATTCAAATCGTGAAAAATAGTAAATAATCCTAACTAGATTTCACAAGTTGTACATTTTGCAAACTGCAGATTTAGTGTTGCAAACTATGGTATAAAGCCAGCCCTTTAAAAAGAAATACTAGACAAAAGTGTACTGGGTGGCCAAAAAAATCTCTCTTACACTTAAACAAGAGGCATTGTATGCAGTAATGTCTAACTTAAATTTTGGTATATACCATGTGCATTTTAATACAGTATTGACTGAGATAACTGTATTTAAATTTGAGTTAACGTTTCCGGAAATGTCGAAAATTAGTAAAAACGGCCTATCAATGTTAATACCGCAGTAACCTGTGCGTATAAGTATACTGCAGTCAAAAAGTATTCGTTTTATAGATAAAAATGCTATTCATTAGGAAATCAATGCAATTTCTAGCTTGTCCATGTGAGAATGCAGTCGAAAGAATTTCAGATCATCTGGGGATCCAGGTTGTGACATGCTGTTACAATTGCCTCACGAGGCTCTCTCGAATTATTTGGTCGTTGATCATGTGGCACATTCCAAATTTGATGCTTCAAGTACCCCCAAAGAAAAAAATAGCACACTGTCAGGTCAGGAGAACGAGGGGGCTAAGGTGAATCACCCCGTTTACTCATCAGTTGGCCAGTGAAATTGTGCCCGAAGATATTGAATACAGTAGTTGCGTTACTGGTTGTCAAAATTAGTTTAATAGGCCGTTTTTTGCTAATTTTCGACAATTTTGAAACTATTTACTTATTTTCAAACCCAAATATCTTGGTCAAAACTGTGTTAAAATACACATGGCGTATGTACCAAAATTCATGTTAGACATCACTGGACTAAATGCTTCTTGCTTAAGTGTAATAACTCTTGACTATTAATTAAATTTTAAGTTATACTGAATCAAAGAGTAGTAGTTTATTTTGGGCCACCTGGTGTAAACATTCCAGTCTGACTGCCAGCTTCAGCACCCTTAAAAAATACACACAGTAAAGACTTAAGTTGTAATATTTATTTTGTTTTAACAGTTCGAGCATCAGATGGAGTCAGTGTTATGAAGCTATCGACCTCTGTTTTAAGTGATGATTCCAACTTTGAGAAGTATGCTCTTTTTTCAGACAGATTAATATCATATTTTTAATGCAAACTTTTAAGTATTTCAAATACAAGCACAAGTAGGTGTGGATTCCAAATTCTTTGGAAAATGCGGGAGTGGGGTATGGGGGGGGGGGGCTTGGGGGGCTCCTGGAATATGGTAGTCAACAACCATCAATATGTGTCATATAATGTATGATATAGAATGTGTTGTCTTGTACATGCCTTGGGCTTGGTATTAAACATTGCTACAACCCTTGCTGGCTTTTAAATTTTTTAATTCAGCTAGAACTTCGTCCTCAGTAATTTCTACAAAGTCAAATGTACATTCGTTGTGCTTTATGTAGTCGGCATATTTTACATTTGTAGCGGGAATTTCTCCTGATAGTTTCTCTCCGATCTCAGAGAAATATTCATTAAATAAATTGGTAATTTCTTCCTGATCATGAATAGGTACACCGTTATGATCTATGTTTAGTATATCGGTTGTTTTTGATCTTTTCCCAATCAACTGATTTATACAGCACCACATTTCTCCTGGCTTGTTCTTAGTAGTTACTATTTTATTTCGAAAGTATTCAGATTTAGATTCCTTTATAGTTTTGTTGACTTTGTTCCTTTGTGTCTTAAATGCTTCGTGATAATGTAGAGAATTGTGCTTAATTGCCATTTTTTTAAGTAATCACTGTGGTACATCCAGGGCGCATATTCACTCCTGTCTTTACGTATTCTAGTCGGTTACGTATTCTAGTCGGTTACGTATTCTAGTCGGTTACGTATTCTAGTCGGTCCATCACCTATATGCGTGATTTTTGACGTCATCCGGCTACATGAACTCCTTATTGGCAAGGTATAGCGTGTGACCCGCATGTTACATTTTTCAAAATGAAAGCTAGCTAAAATTATTGGGGGGGGGGGCGATCGCCCCCCAGCCCCCCTAGTTACCGCCACTGTTTAAAACGTTCACCTTGCAAGCTACAAAACGTGAATTGCATGAATTATTTTCCAAGTACTATTAAGTATACTGTACAGTAACTATAAAAAAATTGGTGAAAGTATGTCCTTCGTGGTATAATGGGCATATACATGGCATTCCTCTGGGTATATTTGATTTATTGGATGGAGTGTGCAACCAAGGGAACCACGTAGTAGGTATGTGCAGAAGACTACCAACTTACTGTCCTTTATATCTTTATTCCTGTAATTTACAGGGATGTTTCAATGACTTGCAGAGTTTTAGAATTCAGTCCAGATGGTAAAATGATGGCATGGTGCAACTCACAATGGTAAGTTTAATTTGTTTTTGTATGTTTAAAAAGGCAAGCTTACACACCTTAGCCTGTACCTTTTTAAATTTTGAACATGAATAATATTTGTGTTATCTTGCCTGATATAGTGTACAAATTTATGACTTTGATGCCAGGCATAAATTACCAAACATCCCAAGAGAGAAGACACATTTACTTTCGTTTTCACCACGAAATAAATATCTGGTCACGTGGGAACCTCTTGTTGGTAAGTGTCACAATGCACAATTAGTAAAATGCACATTCTAAAGTTTTCTGTCGTTCTACATGTTGCATATGGGGGATTACCTTGAAAAATTTATACATTCTCGAAAATGATGTCGCGTTGAGTCGAGACGAAGCGCGTTTGCCTAAAATGCGAAAGGATTCTGATCATGTTACTGAATGTGCTGTTACTACTGTACAATTTCTCAAGAAAATAATTAATCATTGCATGGTGTGAAGGAAATAATTCAATCATTGTGTGGACCTATACTGGGAGTGAAGCTCCAGTTAACGCCTCCACGCGCGTCCCAAAAACAAAAATTACAATACATTTCATAGTAAATATCACGATTTTTGAAAGCTTATTATTCGAAGGATATTCATGTAAACGTCTTCAAACTTTGTATGCTTTACTAATTTTGAGGTGGTCTTTTTAGTGATTTGGTTCATTTCTTAATTTGGACACTTTTTAACACTCGTCCCCAGTCCACTCATCAACTTCGGAATGGCTAATTGCTGTGCATTTTTGTTACACGACTGCATTGCATTGCACCCAGTAAAGCTGTTTGCCGTCAGATAGACTTCGCACAACTCAACTGTAGCTTATAGCAATAAAGCAAAAAGGCTGAAAAACGATCTTACTCAAGCCATTTGTCCAAAATACTCCATATTCAATATATCTGAAACATTCACATAGTGTATGTAGAGGTTGTTTTGTTTTAGTGAAGAAAGACGGACCAAAAGAGAAGGACACTCTAGAAATTTGGGAGACAGAAACGGGAAACTGTCTAAAAGGTTTTTGCATTAAGAAACGAGAGAACAGGTATGGATGTTTCTTCTGTTGTTCATATAATTTTGCTAAAAACACCGAACTCATATCACTAATCAACCAGTCATGACAATTAACGTGGGGCCATGTTAACAAGCCTGCAAAATGAAGAGGATTGTTCTGATTTTAATGAAAATCAACATCATGAAATTTAATACACCCTTTCAATAATTACGTTACAAATCTCTCCCTGGCCTGGAAACCTCATTCTCATGAATCGCGAGCGAATGGTCTTTCGTCTTGATTCGGCTCCTAGGCCAAGACGTATTATTGACGTAATTATCAAAAGGGTGTATTGTAACTTGTAATATGTTGTGAGATCCTCATATATATATATATATATATATATATATATATATATATATATATATATATACATATACTGTAGTTTCCTGCTCTCTATAGACAGATGAAAGAGTTGTTTTTTCTACACTTGCAATTTTGGCTGTGATTTTAGGTGTGATTTTCTTCTTCTGATGGTTATTGTCCGAGTTATGAATGTTCAGATGAGGGTACGTATACTCAGAACATTCATGACCCTTCTACTCGTTCACATGCATCAGAAAGAGAAAATCACACTAGAAATGGCAGCAAAAAGACTTAGTGTAAACGGATCTTAATAATTATAAAAAGGAATGATCTTTTCAAGATATTTTGTAAATCAAACGTTAAGGTTTAAAGTATAATGGCATGGGCTAGTGTTACAGTATAGGTAAAGCAAAGGGTAGGGAATATAGCGTATTTAAGCAAATACCGCTTGTTCTGTTAATGCACCTCTGGTTTTGCATGTTCTTGTCGTTTTCTTTCAGCTTATTTAAATGGTCCGAAGATGAAAAACTATGTGCGAGATGTGTTACAAATGAAGCTCATTTTTACGAGGAAGGGAATTTCGGTATTGTACATTTGTTAGATTTAATAATGCTTGTGAAGCAAGGTTACAGTGCACGCGCATGTGCATGCAGTATATAGAGGAGATATTTTAGAGGAGATATTTTGGCATGATTGTACATTTCGGTTGGATTTATATTTTATTGGTTGTTTACGGCTAAGTTATATGATGTACCTGTCGTACTATACCTTATTATTATTATTATTATTATTATTATTATTATTATTATTATTATTATTATTATTATTAGTCCAGCGGATATGCACAGATATTTGAGAAAATCATGCACTTTGTGAAGAAAGCACCAAATTCACAGGAAGTGTAGACTTTAACATGATAATGAATCTTAGATATGGAGGCATCACCAAAATTGATGCTGACGGCTTAAAATTTAGGATTTCTTATATTCTCTTATTAATCTCTTATACAATTAAAAATTGTGAAATTGCAAGTTTACATATAGCAAAAATGACATGCGTCATTACAAAGCTTACAAAAAACTGTATATAAGACATTTAAGCAGTTACTTTGATTTTCCAACTCCTTTGGAGTTATGAGCGGTTGAAAATATGCTTTAGGGCTAGTGTCCAGGACTTTGGCGGGATTTTTGCCTATTTATCACGTTTTTAAATAGCAATAACTGGAAAACCGCTTGGAAAATCAACCAGCCGTTTAAAAGTCTTATATGTAGTTTTTTGTAAGCTTTCTAATCATGCAAGTCATTTTTGCTATATGTGAACCTGCAATTTCACAATTTTAAACAGTAATATACAATTACTTTATGGTTTCCGTGTTTGGATGGCCTGATCCAAACACGCGGGAATGTTGCGAGAGTTAAGAAAAGCGCGCGAAACACGAGCCGAAGGCGAGTTGTTATAAAATAACAACTTTCCGTGTTAAAATTTCACTCTAAAAAACTTTCACTTTAAATTTCCGTGTTTGGATGGCCTGATCCAAACACGGGTTTCGACCAATCAGAGCACGCGTTATATACATGTTATTTTATAATAGAGTTTAATAAGAGAATATAAGAAGTCCTAAATTTTAAGCCGTCAGCATCAATTTTGGTGATGCCTCCGTATCTAAGATTCATTATCATGTTAAAGTCTACACTTCATGTGAATTGGGTGCTTTCTTCACAAAGTGCATGATTTTTTCCTTTTCCGCTGGGCTATATTATTATTATTATTATCAATATCATTATTATTATTATTATTATTATTATTATTTGTATTTTAGGAAACATTGTAAATAAACTACGACTTCAAGGAGTAAGCTGCATAGAAATTGCTCCAGGACCGCCTCCCTATAAGGTTGCTGCGTATGTCCGTGGTACAAAGGTAAATAATTATTTTAGTTCAGCGACAGATACGTCGAGGACTATTGAGAAAGCAACTTTGTCACTCAATTAATTGCATTTTTGGCAGGGCCCTGGTCGCCCTCCTCCCCACCCTAATTTTTGCATCTGCATTAGTCTCAGCATTGGAAATTCCTCGGGAAATGCATAATATATCCATTTATAGAGCACATGCGTTTATATATTATTTGTCTTTGAACTGTCAAAGGTTTTCTGTTTGCTTCCCTTATCCAATTCCTCCCAGCATAGGCATCGTATGCATACTCCGCGTCAATACGTACAATAACAGTATTTGTCAGTGGCGTAGCCAGAACGATAATTGGGGGGGGGG